ATGTGAAACAGGGGGCTGGATGGGCGGCCTTTGCGGGAAGCTGGCTCTCCGGGGACAGGCACACTGAGAGGTGAGAAGGTGCCGGGGAGGCAGGCTGGTGCTGGGGAGCCCGGTTGAAGGAGAACACGAGGCCACCCCAAGATCCTGATCCCTACTCTCTCCCCAAATGACCGAATCTGTTTTGGGTGTGGCCCAGCTGGGGGGAGGGGTTGACGTGCTCTTTTGAGTGACCCATTAGTACTAAAGGGAAAGGTCCCACTCAGTTGTTGCGCATAGTTCCTGGAGCTAAGGTAACACTTGTTCATTCCGAGCCAGGCTTCCAGTCATATTACCAGGCAGGCTGGATGCGCCCCTGCACCCTCTTCCCACACGGCCGGCCTGCAGAAGCACAACCCTGCCCCACGTGGGTGGGTGCGGGTGGGTGTGCCCTCGGGCAGGCCTATTAATCATCTTTCTCTGACACAAGCTCACATCCCTGGGCAGAAAGAACCAACAAAAGGAAGGCACTGCAGCCAGGCCAGGAGGCTGTGCCGGGTGGGGATGTTTGGGGAGGGGCAGGTGGAGGGACGGAAGGAGGGCCAACAGTTCACAGCAAGTTCAGACAGATGATGCAGGAAGCGAGGGGCAGTCAGGCAGTGTCCACCCTGAGCCCAGTGAGGCAGGGGACAGGGCCTGACCCCAGGGCACCTTGCCCACACGGTCTGTTTCATGCCACTTTGTTCTTTGGGGGTGCTACAGCCCTTAAGCATGTCCCCCACCCTGCCCTGTGCATATGTGCATATATGTTTAAAATTATAAACCAATTTAATAGGGTTGTTTTCTGACAATTCATGCTTCGATATTAGATAGTATTAACTGACTCCTTGCTAGGACCATGCTGGAACTCCCCCTCCCGTCTCCTCTGTCTGACCCCCTGATTTATACTTCCAACATTACAACATTTACATTCTGCTGTAACCATAATCCCCACAGTTGTCTAAAATGAACTCTACTTTAAAAATAGATTCGTTTGTTTGTATTTTATAACAGCAAAACTATTTTTAATGTTTTATTTCACTTCATCTCTTGGTTGGCTGAGTTTGGGGGGAGTACGTTTTCATATGCACTGTTTCCCAGTGATGGTTTAGGCACCCCACAGAGATGTGCCCCTATCTTACCGGCCTTTTCACACTGCGCACTGTGGTCTCGCAGCACCTTTGCTGATGACAGTGGTGAGAAGGGGCCAATGTGGACGGAGAAGATAGTAGCGGCGTCTGCCAGCCCTTGGTGTGACATTACAGGGCATCTCTGAGAAGCCGGCCTTGGTCAATAATGGACGGAGGCAATAGATTTTGGGAAAATGTAAAAATAAGTGATTTGAGGTGGAGTCTCAAGGGAAGGCAAATGGACCCCATTCCTCACATGCAAGTGTCTGTAGGAGATTGTCACCTGGACCCTCTGGCCTCATATCTGTAAAGGTCCAAGTTGTATTGAGGGCGTGGCCATACAGAAATGCAAAAACATGGCACAATTTTTGAGCAGTGGCAACTGAAGTATGTGCGTTCATAGAGCAAACAAACTCAGAGGAGCAAGGAGAGTATAAAACCTTTTTATACAGCTGTCTCTCTTATCTTTCCACCTACCTAGTTACTGGTTGATTTTTGTGTGTGTGTGTGCAGGCACCCTTCAACATGGACTTACTGGGGGCCTACTAAGTCAGGCTGTTCCAAAGGACGGCAGTTCCATCCAAAGACTTTTTGTAACAGAAACAAATATGAAAGGAATATAGTTACACATATTTTTTTTCCAATATAGATATAACCTATTTTAACTGTCACCGCAGAAAAAAATAAATCCTATTGCCAGGGCACCATAAGGAAAGAAAAAATGTTTTACGACATTGTGTAGTTGCAGTTGAGGGGATTTAACAGATAGCAACAGCCTGGGGTGTCCAAAGCCAGAGTGGAGCCACCAGATGTCTTCTCAGCTCAGGTCCATTCAGGAGGGGCCTCTGCCTCCTCCAGGCATGTGTCACTCTGCTCAGGGTGTAAGAGAGACAAAGCAGGTGGGGTCCCCTACCTCTGGGCTCGGGGCCTCTGTCCCTGTGTCTGGGGCCTCTGAGGAGCTTGGGCAGCTGACAGAGAAAAGGACCTGAGCCTAGGAATGAGGAACAGGAGTGGAATGAGAAGTTTGAAGATGTTGTTTGGTTTGGGGTTTTCTGCCTTTATTTTTAAAGCAAACACATTCTCTGAGAGTGGGGCAAAGCATGGCCTAGCCTCTTACTGACCTTGGGTGTATTTCTGGTAGTCCCAGACTCCAGAGATAAAGACAGCCAAATAGGTTTGCAAGGAGTTCTGCTGGGGCATTTGCAGACCACAGGGAGCAGAGGAAACCTGGACAGGTGTGCGGATGTGAACGCACACACAGGTGCAATGGCACAGGTATGCCTGACCCAAGTGCCAGGAGGTGTCAGAAGGCCAGGAGCAGACAGGTTCAGTCCTTTATGGGACATCCAGGCAGCCGCAGCCAACTGGTTTTTCCACAACTGCTTTGATGTGACTCGCATTCAAAGTGCAGATCAACAACCCAACACCAGCCCGGTGCAAAGAGACCTTTTGCAGTGAGAAGAAAAGTAAATAGATTACGTCTGAGGCTCTCCCTGCAGGAGACACACAAAGGTTTCTTTACAGCTGTATCCCTGTGGCCAGGACCACCAGAGACTTCTGGGGAGACCCAGGCCTGTTTCCTGCTGACCCCCAAGCAGCCTTTTAAAATGATATATGACCTGTTCCTTGGCAACACGCTTGCTTAGCTCCTAATGATGCCTGGCGGGCTAATCTAGTCTCGCCTGTTAATTAAGTGGTGTAGTAAACTCAATGATAGGAATTTTCCCAGAGCATGCCTTTAAGAGTTTCGTGCCCCTCCTCCACTTCTGCCTGGGCACGCTTCGAACCCTATCTCTTTCATTGAGAAGCAGGCAGCCCACCTTGGCCGAGGTGCAATGGAAGAGCAGAGAGCCCTGTTGGGGACTTGCACAGATGACCTACTGGGAGCAGTTTTTTAAAAAGTATTTCTGGGAGCATAAAACCTCAGCAGCTGCCAAGGGGCCTCTGGGTGACGAGCATCATGTCAAGTGGTTTACAGCCAAATAACACAGCCTGACCCATATAATACCAGCTTGAGGTTGGCATTCCTTCCCCATTTATACTGGGAAAAACTGAGGCTCAGAGAGGTTAATCTGCGCAAGGAAGGTCCTCCAGCGAGATATCCAAGATCCAGACTCTGTCGGCCTGGCTCCAAGCCTGTTTCCTTCAAACCCACACTTCAGGTTGTTCACAGAGTCCTGCAAGCAAGATGAACGACTCTAGAATTCTGTCCGCAGTCTTCCGCTCCTGTCCTCTCTGAGCACCATCTCCCAATCAATAAGTCCAAAAGCGAACACAAGTTAAACAAGCACATCTTAGCTGCAGTGCAGCATAAACCCTGACCTAATGCTGCCACTCCAGCCTGATTGATTTTATTCAATCTATAACTCCTTGGGCTTAATAGCAAAGGAGCAAAGAAATGATCTGTTGAATAATTATTAAGGGGGAGGTGGGACGGAAGGTGAACATGAAGATACCAGTGAGCATTTAAATGGAGGAATTCAGTATCCAGCTGGCTTCTGAATGAGGGTCAGTGTATATTAGGCTACTGATGATAAATTATTCAGGCTGGCTAAAGAGTATTTGTCTCCAAATGGGGATTAGGTCTAGTTGAATTAAAACCCCACTTCTCAAGAGGTAAAACCTTAATCAGAAAAATTATATTTTCCATAGTCAAGATCATATTGTCTTTCAAACTCTCCTTTCAGAAGCTTAGCCCAGAGGTGACTTTTCAGTTTAATTCCAACCCTAAGGGTCGGCGTTGTGGCCCCCTAGAGGCCACCTACTCTTGAGTGTGTATGAGAACAGAACGGAGACAGATGCAGCAGGAGCCCGGAGGAAAGCTAATGTGTTCCAAAGATCTGGCCATCAGAGAGAAGCAGCTGAAGGTCAGTGGGATGAACAGATCCAGTGATGACTGGTCCCAGACTGGTTGTGCAGCTCTGACCCTTAGCAAGGAGCCTGCCTTCTCATCAGTGGAACAGCAAATCCCTTTCCCACCCCTACCACACAGCAATCTGGAGGGAATACATGCTATTAAAAACAAGCAAGCAAACAAACACCAGTGCTCTGCATCTTAGCAGGAGAGCGCTGCAGAAATACAAGATGCTGGAGTCAGCATGATGCAGCAGAAAGAACCCTGGGCTGGAAGGCAGGTGCTCGGGGCCCGGGCCTGGAGCTGCCCCCAACAGGGCTCTTGTTGGCCCAGTCTCCTTTCTTTGACAAAGGGGAGCAGGATGACCTAAATTCTATGAAAACTTGAATTACTACTGTTTCTCCTTTCCATCTTCCGCTCGGCCCAAACTGTCCCGTTACCCTTCTCTGAGCAAGGAGTGGTCTCACCCTAATTAGTAGTCAGGGAAGGAAACTTGGCCCAGTTACTGCCCGAGGCTGGGGCTCCTGCCCAGCTGTGTCCTGCCGGCAGTCTCCAGCCCCACGCAGCCCATTCCACAGGCACCTCCACTAACTGTGCAGGTGAGAGGCCTTTGCCTAGAACACGTCATGCTCCCAGGTGCTTGGAAGGTCGACCCAGCGGCCACAGGCAGATGGAGAACTTCCACCAGTTTAGGAGCCCAGATTAAGAGGACTTCTTGGCCCTAATTCTCAGCGAAGGAAAGGCTGTTGAAACCCATGGCCAACAAGGGCCTCTGAAATGGGTTGGCCATGTCCTTCAGGTCTGCCTGATCCACCCAAACCTGGCAGGGTGGCAGCCCCTAAGTTCTGGTCCCTGGGGAATCAGGGGGGACCAAGGAGTCATGCTGAGGTCAGCATTTAATACCAGGTTGCTAGAAGGCTCCTGCACTCCCCTCCCCATGGGAAAGGCCACAGAACCCCAGCAGCCCCTGAGCACCCCCAGCTGGAGTGACTTGGACCTACCGCGAGCCAGCCTGGCCTCGTGGTGGAAACTCCGCAGGACCTGGAGCTTTTCCGATCCCAAGTGGCTCTTAGGGAGCCTGCGGAAGAGCTGCTGGAGCCTGGCGGTGAGAGTTCCGAAGCAGGCAGTGGCCGCCTCCTCTTCAGGGCCCTCTGTCATCCCCGCTGCAGATCAATAGCTTCTCTCTAGGCCTGGTGTCCGGGGTGGAGGGATGAATGGGGGAGTCACTGCCCCTGGAAGGGCTCGGTCCTCATGTGACCGAGGTTCTGCTCAAATCAGGCCAACTCACTGCTCCTCCAAAGGAAGCCACGGGCACCTGGGGCCCCGGCCGGCACCAGGCAGCCTGAGCGGTACCTTCTCCTTCCCAGCTGAGGTCCTTCCCTCCACCGCCCCCAGTGGAAAACTTTCTATTCCTGGGGCTTTTAGCTTGATAAGATAAAAATGCCCCCACCAAAGAGGCTGCAGGAAAGAAGCTGCCCGAGCCTCATTCCTCTAGCGCCTGCAAGTCTAAAAATCAATGTCTCCAAAGTTTCTACAGACGACAGAAGTGATCGGTTACCTCACACCGCGCCTGGTCCAGGAGCTCGTTAATGGGTTTCTTTGGGGATGGCGATTAATGATGCTTTACCAGCCGTACAGGCTCCTGAGGGACAGCCGGGCTAATTCACATCCTCCCGTGCAAAGCCTGGGGGGCCCTCAGCCCTCAGCCGCCCAGGCCCAGAAGGTGGTGTTGCTTTAAGAGGGTCAGACAATTTATCTGAGACCACACACCTGAGCAGAGCAGAGGTGACAGGCAATGGAGAAAGAAAAAGAAAAGACTAGAGTTTCTCATAAAAAGGGCAGAAATGCTGTCCTCTTGCCCTAAAATGATGCTCCCTAGGTACCCTCTCAACTGCCCCTGGAAGGGCTCAGTCCTCGTGTAAGTCCCAGAAACAACCAAGTCCTGGTGGGAAAGTTCCTGGATGCTTTGTCGCCCAGGCCAAGATGGGCGGTGGCAGGGGACAGCGGCCAAGCTTTCCAGGGAAGGCCCTGGTCTCGGTGCCTGTTCCCAGCTGCCCAGATTCCAGAACTCATCTGCCAACCACCAGCGGGGCCAGCTTCAGATGAAGGAGAGACGCTGGTTCATTACCCAGAGGAAACGACCACAGAGGACTCGCTCGGGCATGTGCAGAAATGAAGCCACTGTGCTCTGGTTACCCAGTGCGACCAGGACACCAACGCACATCAGTTAGGATGGGGCTCTGTTATTCATCCTGCAAACGCCAACCTAGCTCCCCAGCTATGCGCTGTAGTTTCCCCCAGGTCATAGAGAATGCTCACTGGCATCCTATCCCAAGGGCCGTGTCCTTGGGCCCACTTCGAGAAGAAAATGTTGCTACAACAAACCTAAGCCACACTCTGATCCTCTAAACAGGCTCCCCCATCACCACCCTTCTCATAAGAAATCTGGCCAGAAGGCCCCCATTTTAGGTCACCTCTCACTACTGAGGGCCAGGACTTGGTGCAGTAACTATAAAAACTCATTTGTAAGCTCAATAAAAACCCATTGTTACAAGTAATTTATTTCATATAGAAATGCCCCCCAATGCCACCCTTTCTCAGGCCAGGACACTAGTTCTTTCTCCCTAAAACTTCCTTAGTGGGACTGGGCTGCCCAGTTTACCCAGCAATCTCTGCACTAGAAGAGGGTTGTGGGTGAGTCTTGGTCCTGGAATGGCGCTTGGGGCCATCAAGGGAGGGTTGGGAATCAAGGTTCCTTGGCCCATTGCAACTCTGTAGCACGTGAGATTGCCAAGAGGGCCAGAACCCCCACCTGGCTTGCCACAGGCAAGGGTGGCATTCCCACTGCCACCCTCAGAAGGGGCAGCACATGCATGCTGGGGGAATTTTAAAATATGAGTCACACGCAATGGGGAAAAGTCCCTCCTGAGTGCCCCATTTGGGCTTAAGGATAGACGGACCTCACTTCTCCTTTCTTATCACTGAGCTGTTCTTTGATAGGTTCCCATTGGGGAATCCAGCAGGAAAGGACTGGCAGAGACTAGCCTCCGGGCTTTGGGAAGCTCTAGAATCTTCCCTGCTGAGCCTCTGAAAACTGGATGGATTTCTGCTCCAGGGCGGTTCAGGAGGAGCACTATCCAGAGGCAGGGGAGCACTTGCGATGACCTCTTGCTGCCTCTGACATCTATGCCTTGACCGGATGACCTCCATGCTGGAGAGGGAGTCCAGCCAAGGCCCAACACAATGTGAAGAAATAGGCTTCACCATCTTAAGTGCTGCGTTTAAAATATATCCTCACCTTGAAATACCCAATTCATAAAAAGGTACCTCCATACTGCTTTCAAAAGTATTCATCACTGAAACATTTACGTCTAGTGTGCTGAACCCCGCCTCTCGAAACTCTCTAGTTACAGCAGAAATCTGTTGTTCCACTTGCATAGTAAGGCATCTCTGAGGTTTTTCTGGATTTCAAATACTTTCCTTGGTTGCAGAAAGGACATAATTGTTTCAACAGAAACCACAAAACCTCCAGCTTCCATTCAACTTAGATGGAAAAAACAGCTTCTTCCGAGTCAGCAAGGAAAGTGAGTGATGATACTCAAGTGATCCAAGTGACAGCCTGACTGGAGAAACATCCCGCCAGAGTTGGGTGGGAGCAGGGCTCTCCACAGAATTGGGTGGGAGTGGGGCTCTCCCCAGATGTGCTCTTCCCACGTGGCCACACCATTGCGTGGGACAGAGCCAGGGGCCTGGTATGCCAACCTCAGTTGACTTTTCAGTCCCTATCCAACTCTTCTTTACCCTAGCTGTCCCCCCTGAGATTCCACCTAATTTCACTTTGATTCATGGTTAGCCCTGTGTCATGAACTCTGAACCTAGGTCATGGTAGCAGGAGGCATGAAACAGGAAAAGATCTTCGACCTGCATTTCCACGCCCACCCTGCCTCACACCCCCCACACCAGTGGGGTGGGGGTGGGAGAGATTCACTTGTTTCTTTTATCTTGAGATTTTGAAAGACTTCACCGTTTATTGAAAGAGCTCACAATTTACACACGCTGAAAATCTATTTAGAATCCAAACGCTGAAGACAGGCTGAAGTGCAGCCAACTCTCAGTTCTTCAGGCACCGACTGATGCTCCAGCTTGCCCTTGGCTGACCCACCACCTGGCTGGCCCTCCTTTGTTTCTGTACCGCTTTTTATGGACATTTCAGTATTTGTTGGCAGAAGAGAGGCAGATGACTGACGAAGCTCAACTACCTTGCATGTTCAATGATGTTAGCTCATAAGGCAAAAATGCTGTGGTGGGTGCTGGTGCTGGGTTTGCTACAGTGATCTGGGCTGTCTTGGAAAAGTCCTCTGTTTCCCTGAATGTTGTGCTTCCTCATTTGTGAGATGGTTAGGAGTCAACCAGCCCTGCCTACCTCACCAGCCCATGCACCAGAAAACACTTTAGATGCAGCCAAGTAGTCTCTGAGATAAAAGATATCTCTACTCCACATTTCTTGGCCATTTTCAGCTCTATATCTACAGGCATGTTTCCATCCTAACAGGCTCAGAGGACACCAATTTGTATATCCAGCAAACATAGTGATAATTTCTTCCCAGATCCAGCCTCCAGTAGAAACAAAATGTAAAAGAATTAAAGAAATATACAGTCAAAGAACATCACTCTTCTTTAGGCCTGGCCCTCATGACCCTGTGGTCTGATTTCTTAGAGGTCCATGTAAGCCAAGCTGTCATTTTCAGGCAGCCCTAGCCAATAGCCACTGCAGACGTCCGGGTAAGGTCTACTCCACCCTGGAAATGTTTGTTCAAGAAACAAGGAGGGGGAGCAGAAGGTGGCGTGCAGGCCCTCCACTGAATGATAAACATGACCAAGCCCACTATGGTCACAGGTGGGTGACATACTTGGCCACCTGCCCAGTGACACACAGGAATGGACAGACTGGACTTTCCCACACCACCCTTTTTACAAACCAAACCCTCAGCACAATGTCAGGTCACGCTGTGCCCCTGGTGCCCTCCATGGGGCCAGGGTAGTAGGTGTGGGGAGCATAATCCTGAAGAAAATTGGGACCTGTTATAGCAACCAGGGGTCACGAGACCCTCTCAGCCAGGACAGGATATTCTCCACAGGGAGGATGGGCACATGGCCACCAGGCCAGGAGGGATCCCTGCTGCTCTGCCTCCTTCATCTCCAAACCTCACAGCTTCCCTTTATGGGGGCGTCTCTCAAGAACTTTCTCTGCGCCAGGAACCACAGGCAAGCTGGAGCAGGCCCTGCGTGAATTTGTCGGCCGCGATGGCCAAGCTCCACCATGGAGAGCTCTCAGGGCCCACCAGGATCTGCCCAGGTCTCTGGCACAGAGTGTGGGGTGCTTCAGAGAACACCTAAATACCACCTCCCCAGGTCTGAGTCAAGACAGTCTTGTTTAACCCTGGGGCGGGGCTCCCCACAACTACTCCCCAGCACTGATTTTATTCCCCGTCAACCAGTGCCCCAGGGAACCGAGCCACTGCCCTGTCTGACATCATCACCTCAGACTCCTTGATCTTTCCCCAAAGCCTAAGCTGGCTCAGCTCCCCTCCCAATCCCGAGATCTGGCCCCAAGCATGGGGACAGGAGCTTGCCAGAACTCTTGGAAAAAAAACGAAAGTGACTAAATGTACAACCATCTCCCCAGTCAGGGCTGGCCTTCCCAGCGTTGGCTGCCGCCAGCATTCCTGACCCAGGCAGGGGAGTGCCGGACAGGGCCCTTTGGGAAGGGTGGGTGGCCTCTGAGGTCAGCGGAGGAGGCAGGAGGCCGTGTGGAGAGGCAGGAAGCATCCTGCTACTGGCACAGGCAGGATCTGCCAGCGTGGTGAGGAGGAGACCACACTAGAGGGTGCAGAGGCCCAGGTAGGAGTCAGGGGAATGACCCATTTGCATGCTTTGCACACCTACAAATACTCACCCGCCCAAGAAGACTCAGCCCAAGAAGACTCAGCTTGTCACCCGAGGAATTCGAACAGGAAAGGCCTCCCCTGAGGCCAGAGATGTGTTCACAGCTCCCTCACCAGCCTTAATGGTACCCTGAGCAGGGCAAGGGTGGCAAGCAGCTCCTTCCATGGGGAAACTGAGGAATGAGGAGTGGGTATGGGACAGCCGTGGGATAG